ATGATCAGTATTTAAAACAAATTCTCTTTGAATCAAGTAACATCTCCAGAAGCTTAAAGCTTGCACAATAGCATAGAACTCCAAATCATAAGTAGAATACTTAGACTTAGACTCATTCAGTTTATCACTAAAGTAAGCAGCAGGTTTTCCTTTTTGACTAAGCATTGCACCAATACCAATATGAAAGGCATCACAATTAACTTCAAAAATGATTTCAAAATTTGGCAATCTAAGAATGGGAGCTTGACTCATTTTTGTTTTAATAATTTCAAGTGTCCATCTAAAAATTCCCTTTTTCAAACAATCAGTAATAGGAGCAATCAGAGAATTGAAATTCTTTATAAATCTTTGATAAAAAGAAGCCAAACCATGAAATCCTCTCTCTTTACTTATATTTTTAGGAATAGGCCAGTTTTGAATTGCTTCTATTTTAATTGGATCCACTTTTATCCCTTTAGCAGAAACAATAAAACCCAAAAATGTCAAACTCGAAGTCATGAAAGAACATTTTTTAATGTTGATGAAAAGTTTTTGTTCTCTTAAGATTTGCAGCACTTGTTTCACATGATTTAAGTGTTCAGAAGCATGAATGCTATAACTCAAAATGTCATTGAAATAAACTACAACAAATTTTCTAATGAGAAGTTTCAAAACATGATTCATAGTTCTCATAAAAGTACTCGGAGCATTTGAAAGACCAAAATGCATCACAAGCCACTCACACAAGCCCTTTTTTAACAATTCAGATACTTGTTTAAAAAGTTTAGCATGCTCAGTTGGACTCATCATATAATGAGGAATGTTAGGCAAAGTAGCTCCAGGTAATAAATCAATATGATGTTGAATTTGTCGCATAGGAGGCAATCCAATTGACAAATCATCAGGAGTTATATCAGAAAACTCATTCAATAAAGCTTGCATTTTTTTGGAATATGAAAAACAGTATCAGATTCTTTTCCCAAAACCAAATAAGCAACTTCAAAATGTTTCAAATCATTAGCATTTAAAAGCAGTTCAGGAGAAGAAATTTTGGCAACTATGTTTTTCTTAACAGGTGAATACGACACATTCTTTTATGGATGAAGAGTAAACTCTTTATTATTTTGCATCAAAGTATATGTGTTTTTCTCTCCATTGTGAACAGTTTTGTTGTCGTACTGCCAAGGTCGTCCTAGCAAAACATGGCAAACTTCAAGAGGTACAATATCACAAAAAACTTGATCTTTAAATGATCCTCCAATAGATAAATTGACGGTACATTGTTTAGTGATTGGAACCTCACCCCCTTCTTTGAACCAAAAGATCTTATAAGATTTAACAAGTGGTTTTGATTTGATTTTAAGTTTGTCGTCCAGTTTTTGAGAAACAAAATTTTCAGAACTTCCACTATCTATCATAAGGGTACAGATTTTTCCTTTGATGGTGCAAGTTGTTTTGAATATGTTTTTTCTTAGCCATCTATCCCCTTTGTCAATTGTTGTTGTTGGGATTTATCGAATTACCAAAAATTATTCACCATCATCTCTTTCAACATCAACTTTTTCTATTTCATTGTCATTTTCAGATTCAGTTTCAATTTCTTCTTCCTCTAAATTTCATCGTTTTCAATGAGATTGTTTTTTGGTGGGTTATTTTTTCTACAAGTGGCTGAAAGATGACCATAAAGCCCGCATTTATAACATGGTCCAATTAACTTAGGTTGATCAATCAGTTTTGTACCCATTATCCCTTTTCCTTTATCAGTATTTTGATTTTCAAAAGCTTTAATTTTCAGACCAGATGTTTCCCCAGAAGTTTGAGATTGAGATTTAATCCTGCCAGTTGAACGATGTTTATACGTTTCTATGATTTTATTGTGACCATTTTCCCTTTGATGTTGCTTTTCTAATTTAAAGCCATACGATAAGCCTCGTCAGTTTTATTAATATGATGCAAATTGAGTTGATCTTGGATTATTGTTCGAGCATGATCAATTGGCAAGAATTTTCCTTTCATTTTCTCCTTCATTTTTTCCCAATTTTTGACTTTTTCTTTTCCCCTTCTAAGTCTATTATTTTGAAAGTTTTTACACCAGGTTAAAGCATGGCCAGAAAGTTTTAAGCTAGCAAAACGAACTTTTCGATTTTCAGGTATTTCTTTCCACTCAAAAAATTGATCCACCTTTTCTACCAATTCAAGAAATTGATCAGATTGTAGCTTACCCTCAAAGTTAGGAACATCAATTTTAATTCCATAGTCTCCATTTTTTTGTTGCCTACGACGATTTCTAGGAACCTCTTCTTCACTTTTAGAAGTTTGATCATTAGGATTAGCATTAGCTTTATTAACATTCAAGTTCTCAATTGTTTTAGTCATGGTATTAATCTGTTGTTGCAAAGTATTCAATTGTTGTATAAAGTTTTGCCAATCACCCGGGTTATTAGCCATTTCAGAGAATAGACAAAGATTCGTCAAACAAAGCCAACAAAAAAAACCAAAACCTCCAAGGATGAGAACTTGCTCTGATACAAAATTGATGTAAGCAACTTAAAGCAAAAACACAAAGAGAGAACAAAAAAATTGAAGACTCACTTTTTAGAAATTTAAGACACAACTTAGAGAACAAAAGCTAAAAAAACCGGACAAAGCTCGCAAGCTTTTCCAATAACCCGCAGGTCAATAACAATTTTGCTCACAATAATTCACCAACCAATTTCATCACAAAACATCTCATATATATATAGGCAAGAGAGGGGAATCTTAACAGCCTAAAAACCCTTCAAATCCCCATATAAAAATAATAGAAATGAAAGGCCAAAAGTCACCTTGCATGATATCCCAAGAGTCTCAGCAAAGGCAAGCAAAAAGGCCACGGATCCAGCCAAATACAGAGCCAAAGCCACGGCTTAAGCACAGGAAACCAGGAGGCATTTCACGGGTCCAGCAGAAATCCCAAACGGCATAACAAATCTCAAGGAGAAGGCCACGGTTCCAACAGCCAAGCACAGGAATCCAACAGGTAAGTATCGGGT